CTTCTCCTGGTTAAGCTCTGATCATCCAGTCATCTGGTCCAGGTCACGTGGTTTCCTCTTTTGTTTTTAAGTTACATTATTCTACTTATTCAGAATAATAACATATAACAGATGATATCTTTTCCCACCTTCATCCCCACCTCTTTTTCTCCCTTTAGGTATAAAATTAAATATATTAAATGTTCATTCTCAGTCCTTTAACTGAAATTTCCCTAGTCATTTTTGGTTAAAGAAAGTCATTCATTTAGTAGGCTCCTTAAGAATAATTTATGAGTTCCAAATTCCCCACATTCTTGCATGTTTACAGCTATTTTTCTGTACCCTTAATAATTCAAGTTTAGTGAGGCATGATATGAAACATTGATTCATACTTTATTTCCTTAAGTTTATAAAAGTCTTCCATTGTTGTTTGCTTTGTATATTTTATCTATGAAGTCTGATTCCATTCTAATTATCTCACCCTTACAAGTTAGTTAGTCTTTTTGTTTGAATCATGTATTATTTTTTCTTTACTTTTAAAGTTTAATAGTTTTATGAGACTATGTCTTAGAGTTCATCCCTTTGGTTACCCCAAGTGAAGTACTTAGTGGACCTTTTCAATTTTTTGATTAAAATTGTCTCTTAATTATTAAAGTTTTATTGGATTTTTGTTTTAAATAATAGTTTCATTTCATTGTTTTGTTTTTCTCTCTCAAGGACTCCAAATACATGTAAGTTGTTTCTTCTTTGCTTGTCTTCCATTTCATTAACTTTCTCTTTGACCCTTGTTTATTATTTCCTTTACATCTTTTTTTAAAAAATTATTATTCTTCATGTATTACTTTGTTGCTCTGATTACATTTTCATTTGATCTTACTGCTTTTAGTGCCTTGCAAAATTTCATCTTTATTTCATAGGTGATTTTATTTTTTCTTATTCAAATCAGCTCTTAATTTCTGCCTGTCTTTCTGCATTTCTGTTTTTTACTGTTGGACTTCAAGGCTTTGTTTTAGAGGGGACACAGAGTGGATTTTTGTCAGCTGACATAGTCCCTCTTCCCCCATAGGTCATTATGAGTTAGAATTGACTTGATAGCAACTGATTACAGGAGGCATTCCCATTTCCTGTTTTCCTATGATTGCTCTGTATAGATTTTATTACGTTTCCCTAGGTATTTTAATGGATTTGAAATGGTTTTCAAGATTTGTGGTTTAAGAGTGCCCTCTTTTGACAATAAAGGAAAGAACATTTTCTCTAAGGATGACATTTTCCTTTGGTGGTAGGAGAAGCTGTATGTGATTTTCCTCTTACTACATTTTCCCTTTACAACCCAATCTCTAAAGGATGTTGCTCATTTCTTTTTTGACTGTCTTCTCCCACAGAAGCACTGCTCTCTGATGCTACTTCAAATAATGAGCTCTTTCAGTCCCTTTGTTAAAACAAGTAATTTGATCTGTCAGGACTGTTTTTCACATGTATACAGATGTCTTCCTCTTCCAGTGGAGACTTCTAGATCAGTCTTAGTTTTCCTGCTAGCGCACTCATTGTTGGCACGCAGATTTTTTTAAACTGGCCTTTTCCATGAATACTTGTGGTAGGAGCATGAGAGATTGCTTGCTGGAATTTTATGTTTATTTTCTTATTTAAAGGCACTTTAAAGTTTGGGAAATTTTCTTGCTTCTAGTTGTTCTAAGTACATGCATTTTATCTGTTGTTTGTATTTGGCAGTGTCTTGGGAGACTACGATTTATACAGTCCCAGTTACCTTAGTTCTGTAGGAGAAAGATGAGGCTTTCTGTTCCTATAAAGATTTATAGTCTTGGAAACGCTACGTAGTGTTGCTATGAGTAGGAACTGACTCCACGGCACATAACAACAACAACAAGTTACCTTAGTTACCTATTCATTCTTTTTAATAAAGCTAACTAATCTTTAGTGGGGAGTCCTGGTGTGGGGCTGTGGGTTAATGCGCTGGGCTGGAAAGTCAGTTCAAATCTCAAGGTTGGTGGTTCAAACTCACGAGCTGCTCCTTGGAAACCCTACACAGGGTCACTTTGGGTTGGAACCAACGCGACGGGCACTTAACAACAACAACAACAATCTTCAGTGGTACTCTTAGGTATTTAAGCATTTTACCATCATTTCAAGTCAGCGATTCATAAAATATTAAAAATATAATCAGTTTGTAAGCACTATGAAATACTCAATTGGTGTTTTTTCCATTTTGTGAATTATTAAGTTGACTCAATGACACTAACAGCAAGCTACCTGAACCAGAACATACCATGAAAGAATTGAATTTTTGCTTACATAAAATAAAAACAAAAACAAGCAATGTAAAAATAATAGGCAGTATGAAAGGTTTTCAAATTGGAAAATTTATATTAATTTTTAGCTAAGTCAGTCTTTTCTGGTTTTGCTCAGCAAATATTTTTCTTTCAAATAACAGGTTGGTGATATGGATATTGACTATATTAATATAGAAGGAATTACTGCCAACACCAACACTGAATCCATGGGTTCTGCTCTTGGGTCTCAGCACTGCAAGAACATCCTTCCTAGTGAAGTCAGCCCTGCTCTGTACCCATTAGGTCAGAGCGGTGAAGTGACATCAGATATCGAAGCCCAACAACATTTTGTGTCACCATCCAGTTCACATGCTTCCAGTTTGCATCTTTCTCTTGGGCTGCATGGATTTGAAAAGGAACAAAGTCATTTGAAGAAAAGAAGGTAAGATACTCTTATTTTAGAGGAACAGCGTAGAACATCAAAGAACCTTGTAGTTGGACATGGAAATTCTGTTTTCTTTTTTATAACACCTCATTTACTTTTATTCCTAAAGAAAATGCTCTTCTCTTTTATGTTGCTATGTTTGATGTGTTGAAAAGAAAATGAAATTACTAAAGTACAGTCATAATGAGAAGCCCTTTTATACTTATCTGTTGTTGTTGTTATGTGCTGTGGAGTCGGTTCTGACTCATAGCGACCCTGTACAGGGTTTCTGAGCCTGTAAATCTTTATGGGAGCAGAAAGCCTCATCTTTTTCCCATGGAACAGCTGGTAGTTTCTGCTGACCTTTCGGTTCGCAGCCCGATTCGTAAGCACTATGCTACCAGAGCTCCTTTTTATACTTACTAGATTAGCAAAATTAAAAAAAAAAATCTAATAATATCATGCTTTGGTCAAAATGTATAGAGTGGAAACACCTGTATGTTATTGCTAGGAGTAAAAAGTGATACAGTGACTCGGGGCAATGATAGGACATTATTTTGTGAAAGGAACCCTGGTAGTGCAGTGGTTAAGTGTCTGGCTGTTAACTGAAAGGTTAGCAGTTCGAACCTACCAGCCACTTTATAGGAGAATGATTTAGCAATCTGCTCCTGTAAAAATGACAGCTTTGGAGATCCCATGGGACAGTTCTCCTCTGTCCTGTAGGGTATGATTAGTTGGAATTGGCTCAGCAGCAGTGGTTTTCATGTATGTGTGTGTGTGTGTAAAGTTCAGCATGCATGTACCCTATGGTCCAGTTATCCCATTCCTATATACCAGGACACCTATCTATGACTACTTACAGAGGCAGGAAATAACTCAAAATGGTAATAAAAATATAGATGAAGTCCTAGTATGGTGCTGTGGGTTAATGTACTGGACTGTAAAGTTGGTTTAAACCACAATGTAGACAATTCAAGCTCACCAGAAGCTCCTCGAAAACCCTGTACAGGGTTGTTATGGGTTGTAACCAACTTGACGGCATGTAATAACAGCAACTACATATAAATGATGGCATACTTACACAATGGTATACTATACAGCAGTGACAATGAATGAACTACATCTACACATGCATCTCAGACACATAATGTTGAAAAAAAAATGTGAACCATTAAAATGCTTTATGTAGATTTCATTTTTATAAAATGAAATATGATCGAGGTAAAAAACTATAGTCTTCAGAATGGATTGCACTTCAATGTATAGAAAATGAAAAGTCTCACCACTGGACCAATAAACAGCATCCATATAAAAGGAAAAAAAGATTGAAATTTTCAAAGACTTCATTTTGCTCAGATCAACCATCAACCTTCATGGAAGCAGTAGGCAAGAAATCAAATGATGTATTGCATTAGGCAAATCTGCTGACAAGACCTCTTTAACGTGTTGAAGAGCAAAGATGTCAGTTTGAAGACTAAGGTGTGCCTGACCCAAGCCATAGTATTTTCAGTAGCCTCATATGCATGTGAAGCTTGGACAGTGAATAAGGAAGACTGTAGAAGAATTGATGTATTTGAGTTATGGTGTTGGAGGAGAATATTAAAGGTACCATGGACTGTCAAAAGAACAAACAGATCTGTGTTGGAAGAAGTATAGCCAGAATGCTTCTTGGAAGCCAGGAAGGGCAAACTTCATCTCTAATAGTTTGGAAATATTGTCATGAGGGACCAGTCACTGGAGAAGGATATCAAGTTTGGTAAAGTGGAGGGTCAGAGGGAAAGAGAGAGACCCCCAACAGGATGGATTGGCACAGTGGCAGCAGTGATGCTCTCAAACATAGCATCAGTTGTGAGGTTGGCCCAAGACCAGGCAGTGTTTTGTTCTGTTGTGCATAGATAGGGTGCTATGAGTTGGTACTGATTCAATGGCATCTAACAACCACAACAATAAAATCAATAAAAATTGAACAATTCACTACTGTAGAGTTCATACATAGGTGCTTAAGTTATAAAGAAAAACAAGAAGATAAATGGAAAAAAATGCAAATTCAAGAAAATTGTTATGGCTACTAGTGATGTAGGGACATGGTAATAGAAAGGCACATAAAGAGAGTTTGAATGCTTTGAACAGTGTTCAGATTTGAAGTTGGGTGAGCTCACAGGTGTTTATTTTTATGTGCTTTAACTTACACTTTTACTACATATGTTTTCCTTTGCATACAAAAAGGTTATTAAAAACATGGTTTTAATGTACATATTGTATATATTTATATGTATCTGACTATTCATCCAGCCGATTGCCTATATTATTTTCCTCAGGGAATAGCCTAATTTTCACTCATTTCATTTTGTTGTGTTGTCCATTTCTTTGTTGTCCATTTCTACCTCAGATCCTAGCTCTAGGGAAATATGCTCATGTTAACACATACAACCATGAATCAAAAAGTAAGTAGAATACACATATAATATACGGTAGTGGTGTTTATGTGTCGTGGAGTTGGTTCCGACTCATAGTGACCCTGGATAGGGTTTCTGAGGCTGTAAATCTATATGGGAGTAGAAGGCCTCGTCTTTCTCCCACGGAACTGCTGATAGTTTTAAACTGCTGTGAGATTAGCAGCCTGACTCATAACCACTATGCTACCAGAGCTTACATAGAGCTGTACATGTAACTACATATCTGCACATAAATATGCACATAAATGAAGGCATATTCCTCAGAGATGTAGTTTATCAAAGTTTTGTGAAATAGAATGTAGAATGTATTCTGTTCTTGGCTAGTCTGCATTACTTTAAAAGATAATTCTGGTCAAAATCTATTAAATTTATTTCATATTTTATTAATAAAATTATGAGAAACCCTGAAGAATATTGTCTGTTATGCCAAGTATCTAAGTTTAATAGCTTAACCAAGCATTTGATTAATTTGTTAACTAAAAAAGTGTTTTGCAGAATGCAAAATAAAACAATGCTCCCTTACTATTTCCAGACTATATTCATAATGACTCTGTGTATTCTTTCCATCCCCCCTTGATGAACCTGCAGCGTTCAATATCTTGTCCATAGAATCCTTCAGTATTTCAGCTCAAGGCTTGCTTTTTTACTTCAGTTCTTTGAGCTTGTGAAATACTGACCATGTTCTTCTATTTTTGTTTTCAACTCCAGGTCTTTGCACATTTTCATTATAAAGCTTTACTTTGTCTTCTCCAGCTGCCCTTTGAAATCTTCTGTTCAATTCGTACTTCATCTTTCTCCCTGTTTGCTTAAGCTACTCTGTATTCAAGAGAAAGCTTCAGCATCTCCTCTCATCTCCATTTTGGTATTTTCTTTCTTTCCTTTTTAGTGACCTTTGACTTTTTTCATGTATTATGCCCTTAATGCTATGTATAGTGTTTGCTCATTATTGTTCAATTGATGAAATTTGTTTTAGAGTTGGTCTCTAAATCCAGATGGGATTTAGGATAAGCACTTGACCATAATGTCAGGTTGAACACAAGGTCAGCAGTTCAAACTCTCCAGCTGCTCCTTGGAAACCCTATGCAGCGTCTCTGTGAGTCAGAACCAACTTGACGACACTTAACAACAACAACAGCAACACTCAAGGTCATATTTGGACTCTTGTGGACTTATTGTAATTTTCTTCAGCTCCATTTTGAATTTGCATATGATCAAAAATAATTGGTAAAGTTCAACTATTTTAGGAAGTAGCATATGATCAAGAACTGATGGTATTGAAGGAAGAAGTCCAAGCTGTATTGAAAGCACTGACAAAATACAAGGCTCTCGGAATTGATGGGCCACCAGTTAAGATGTTTCAGCAAGCAGATGCAATGCTGGAAGTGCTCACTCATCTATGCCAAGAAATTTGGAAGACAGCTACTTGACCAACCTAATGGAAGATCCATATTCATTCCATTCCAAAAAAAAGGTGATCTAACAGAATGTGGAAATTATGAAACAATATCATGGAGTCCTCGTGTGGTGCTTTAGGATAAAGCACTGGACTGCTAACTGCAAGGTCAGTGTTCCAAACCCACTAGCCATTCCTCAAAATCCTATACAGGATCACTATGCATCAGAAATAAGTTAACAAAAACAAATGGCACTTAACAACAACAAATCACTAATATCACACACAAGTGAAGTTTTACTGAAGATAATTTAAAAATGGTTGCAGCTGAACATCAACAGGGAACTACCAGACATTCAAGCCAGATTCAGAGAAGGTTAAAAGGAATAGAATTGCTGATATCAGGTAGTTCTTGCCTGAAAGCAGAAACTATCAGATATGTGTTTACCAGTGTTTTATTGACTGTGTAAAGGCATTTGACTGTATGGATTGTAACAACTTATGGATAACATTGCGAAGAATGGGAATTCCAGAATTCTTAATTGTGCTCATGTAGAACCTGTATATAGACAGTCATCTGAGCAGAGCAAAGAGATACTGCATGGTTTAAAATCAGGGTTATATCTTTCAGCATACTTATTCAACCTGTATGCTGAGCAAATAATCAGTGTAGCTGGACTACATGAAGAAGCACACTGTATTAGGATTGGGGGAAGACTTGTTAGCAACCTTCACTATGCAGATGACAATCCTTCCTTGTTGAAAGGGAAGAGGACTTGTTAACACTTGCTGATGAAGATCAAAGACTACAGTGTTCAGTATGAATTACACTTAAACATATGGAAAACATAAATCCTCACCACTAGACCAATAGGCAACATTATGATAAAGAGAGAAAAGGTTGAAACTGTCAAGGATTTCATTTTACTTGATCCACAATCAGGAAACCAAACGACACATTGCAAGACATGAATCAGCTGTCAAAGATCTCTTTAAAATATTAAAAAAGCGAAGATGTCACTTGGAGGAATAAGATGTGCCTGACCCAAACCATGATATTTTCATTCACCTCATATGCATGTGTAAGGAAGCTGGACAATGAATAAGGAAGAAAAATTGATGCATTTGAATTATAGTTTTGGCAAAGGATTTTGTGTATAATGTGGACTGCTAGAAAAATGAACAAACAAGTGTTAGAATTACAGAGCCAGAAGGCTCCTTTGAAGTAAGGATGATGGTAAGACTTCATAATGACTTCAGACATGTTTTTAGGAGGGACCAGAATGTGGAGAAGGATATCATGCTTGGGAAAGTTGAGGGCCAGTGGAAAAGATGCCCTCAACAAGATGGATTGACACAGTGGCTGCACCAGTGGATTCAAGCATGCCAGAGGGCATCAGATCAATAAGAGTTGGAGCCAATTGTATGGCACCTAACAGTAAACCATTCTTATGACTAGAGAAATGCTTCATATAAGTGGAAACATTTGTGTTAGAATAGGATCTTGTGGCCAGCACACAAGCATTTAATGAACTAATTTTCAGTAGTACTGTGATCACTAGTTGAAAGACAAGTACAGCAACAAGAGACATCATAAAGCCTTTGAGGCCCCTCACTGTCTTGATCCACCTTCAGGATTATTGTTGATTTAGGAACCTCTGAAGGACCTGAGTTCTGGTAGCATAGTGGTTACGAATCAGGCTGCTAACCTCATGGTCAGCAGTTTGAAACTACCAGCTGTTCTGCGGGAGAAAGATGAAGGTTTCTGCTCTTGTAAAGCCTCAGAAACCCTGGACAGGGTCACTAGGAGTCAGAACCGACTCCATGGCACATAATCACCACCGCCACCGCCAAAGTACCCAAAGAGTCCTGGTGTGGCATTGTGGGTTAATGTGGTGGACTGCAAGGTTGAGGTGAAGCTCAAGGTCGGAGGTGAAGCTCACCAGCCAGCTGCTCCTTGGAAACCTATATAGGGTTGCTATGAGTCAGAACTGACTCGACAGCACTTCACAATAACAACAAAGTATCGGAACATATTTGTATTACTATAAGAGCACAGCCTTCGATATGGATTACGTCTCAATGTCAAGAAAACAAAAATCCTCACCACTGGACCAATAAACAACATTCTTATCAATGGAGAAAAGATTGAAGTTGTCAAGGACTTCATTCTTCTTGGATCAACTATCAACACTCGCGGAAGTAGCAGTCAAGAGATCAGACGACGTATTGCACTGGGCAAATCTGCTGCACAGGAACTTTTTAAAGTATTGAAGAGCAGAGATGTCAGCTTGAGGACTAGGGTGCGCCTGACCCAGGCCATTGTGTTTTCAATAGCCTCATATGGATGCGAAAGCTGGACAGTGAATAAGGAGGATCGTAGAAGAATTGATGCCTTTGAGTTGTGGTGTTGGAGGAGAATACTGAGGGTGCCATGGACTGCCAAGAGAACCAATAGATCAGTTTTGGAAGAAGTGCAGCCAGAGTGCTCCTTGGAGGCCAGGATGGCTAAGCTTTGTCTTTCCTACTTTGGACATGTAGTCCGGAGGAAACAATCGTTGGAGAAGGATGTCATTCTGGGTAGGGTGGAGGGTCAGAGAAAAAGAGGAAGACCCCCAATGAGATGGATCGGCCAGGTGGCATCATTGATGGACTCGGGGGTGGCAGCGGTGGTGAGGTTGACCCAGGATCCAGCATTGTTTCGTTCTGCTGTGCATGGAGTCGCTATGAGTCGGTTCCGACTTGATGGCACCTGACAACAACAACAACATAAAAGTCAAAGCACCAACCTTTATCAGAAAGGTTTTCTAAATCAATCTTTTATGAGAAGTAGTTTGAAAGGCTACCAAATATTTGGCTCTTGAATTCAGATAAAGTGTGAAATGTACCTCCCTTTTGCCTTTCCTCCTCAGTGCCTATTCTGAGTCCTTGAGGGAGAAAATCTCACTTGGACATCTGCGAAGGTACCAGATGTGACCTTTATTTATTGCCCCATTTGCTGGTGTTCAGGAGTGTCTGTGATTTGAAGATTAGATATTGATTTAGGTGTTTGCCCCAGAGGCATGTATACTATGAGTTCTGTTGAAAATGCCATTTTGTTGTTGTCAAGTCCCCTTTAGTTGGTTCCAACTCATAGCCACCCTCTATAGGGTTTCCAAGAAGCTGCCATATAACTTATTAAACTGGTGTTCTGTTGCCACTGAGTACATTTTAATTCTTTACGAACGATAACTCAAGGAGATAATTTCAAAGTATTATTTTCTGGTTCTTTATCTTTTGAATCAAGATAGTTTCATTGTGTTGTGATTAATTTTTTTATTTCAGAATGGTAACAAACAAAGAAAAGTACATTTAATATCCCATGGTGTATTTAACATGCCTAGGAAATGTGTAGACGGTATGGAATGAACCTGGAATGTGAAAGGTCAAATTCTTTCCTTTTAGTTTTATGGTTATGAAATTTAAATGAGGAAAGAAAGGCCATAGTTGAACAGAATCTCTCCCTGTGTCTGAGGTGGATTTCTTACAAGAATAGTTTTTTATTTAAATTCTCTAAAGATAATCCAATGTGGCATATTTGGAAGTTCATGTTCCTCTCATTTCCATCTGTGTCTTAATAACAACTCTGAGGCGTAACCTTCGGAAGACTCACCTTTGATTTGCTCCTCCCCTACAGGGTGTTCTCTTTGAGGGACAAAGGAGAGAATGGTACAGTGCATATTTCCATGTGTAAATTCTCCCTGAGGGGAGCTGTACATCCAAACAGCCATGGTTCTAGTTCATCTGTATTTAAATATTTGAAGGGTGGCAATTTGGGACTTGTAATAATGATTTTACAAAATAGAAATCACGAGGATAGTACTAACTCGAACCAGTTGTTGTTTCTTGCTGTTGTTGTTAAGTGCCATCAAGTGAGTTCTGACTCATAGCAACCCTGTGTAAGGTTTCTGAGGAGCAGCTGGTGAGCTTGAACTATCAATCTTGAGGTTCAAACCAGCCTTGCAGTCCAATGCATTAACCCACAGGGCCACATCAGGACTTTTGTTTCTTAGAGTACTTGAAATTGTTTCTTCTAGGAAGAACGTTTTGTTGAAAGATATTTAACATTTTAAGAGGAGATTTGGAGAGAGACAAAAATTTTAAATGACAGAAATGTAATTTCTTTGGAAATAGTGGACTACTGTTTATATCTCACACTAGTGAGAAGATTTAAATTCAGAACCACAGAAATGAATGATTCATTCAAATATCTGTCTACTCTTCCTTCCTTCTTCCCTTACCCCCCCACTGCAGTCCCCCATCCCCCCAATCCATCCATATAATTATTTACTGGTTGTCTTACCCTGTGCTTTAGTTCTAGCCTTGATGCCTTGGATGCCGACAGTGAAGGGGATGGGCCCTCTGAGCAGGCCCACATTTGCTACAATCCAGTGTCCCAGAGTTCCTCAAGAACTGGGATTCCTAGTGGCGATGAATTAGACTCTTTTGAGACCAACAATGAACCGGATTTTAATATCTCCAGGGCTGAATCTGTATCTTTTTCAAGTAATTTGCAGCCAAAGGTACTCATATGGATATTAATTCTGTTTATTTAAGTGTGAACTATGCTGTCTAAATAGATCTATATTTATCTAAAAGACAAATTATGCTTTATTCACTTGTGTGAACTATAATTTTTGGAGAGCCATGGTAGGTCTGGTTGAGTCTTTCTTTTTTTTTTAGTGTTTTATTGTGAATTATATGATAGTTTACATGGGAGAACATTAGTTTTACATTCATTCTATCGTATATCATATCATTGCCATGGTTACAATCCCCTCCATGCATCGTCAACCAACCAAAGGGTACACCCTGCAAGCCTGCCCTCTCCAGTCTTCTCAGTCTTTCTTTTAAAGTCTTTTAAAATCTCTCACATTGTTTTATTTTATATAGATCATGCACATAAAGTCCGATTTATATGGTAGTTAATTCATCATAAATTGTTATTATCTGTCAAATACTTGGAAAACTTTTGCTATTTAATGTAATTGTTTCTGTATAAACTCTTCTGTATAACTCCCAGGGAGAAAAACTGGTAGGATTAAATGACATTTCGTTTTCAAATTTACTTTGCTCACATGCATCTTTATTTGACCCAGATTGTGTTTGTTGTTGCCCTGGAATCAGTTCCGACTTATAGCGGCCTTGTATAGGGCTTCTGAGGCTTTAAATGTGTCTCCCAAAGACCAGCTGGTGGGCTCAGATTGCTGACCTTGTGGTTCACAGTCCAGTGCTTAGAAGGTAAATTCTGTTACTATGACAGAGGCAATGTTTGTTGACCATCCCTGGTTGTGTGACTTAACCTGGAACATCATAAACTAGGTCAACTTTTCCATAAAAGTCAGATTTTCTCTTGTTGGACATTCACATTGGAATTTTACTTCGTTGTGGTTGTTTCTTAGAAATAATAAACTCACCTGTCTAATCTTGCGGCGAAAGATCTTTTGTTTTTGAAAATACATTTTCTTTCTATTTGATTTTATGATCATCCACTTGTTTTCTTGTAACATGAGTTTACTACTATAAAACAATGTATGCTGTGCACATATTTCTCTTACTATGAACATATGGCTATTATAATAATGCCTTATTTTTGGAGCATGTCCTACAATATATAAAACATGTTCTAATTATGTACATAATATGTCATTTTCTCATAGCTCATCTACATAATGCTTTTACATAATTTTGTTTTATTTTACCTTGAGCATATGAGGTCCAAATGTAAGATTCTGCATCCAAGTTGCTCAGGCTTAGTAATAGGGTCAGAACTTGAGTCTAGGTCCTGGGTCCCTTTCTCAGCCCAGAAACTTATAGAATTGTCATCATCTTTCAAGCCTCAACGTCATGTGATAGTCTTGTTAAATGCTATGGTTAAATGTCGTTGAGTGAGTTCTGACTCATAGCAACCCTGTACAGGGTTTCCAAGGAGCAGCTGGTGAGTTTGAACCACTGATCTAAGGTTAGTAGTCCAGTGCTTATTCTACAGCACCACATGATAATCTCAGAGAAGGAAATGGCATGTTCCCTAATGTAGGTACTTCATAGTTTTGCATTTGAATGGAATTTTGAAAAACTCATCATTACTTGGTGTGGATAATAGTCACTCTTTGTAAAACAGTTTCATGGTGTTCACTTTTATGAATTCCCTCCCACCCACCCACTGTCATTGAATCAGTTCTGACTCACAGTAACCCTATAGCATAGAATGGAATTGCCACATCTTTCTCCCACAAAGCAGCTGGTGGATTCAAATCTTTTGGTTTGCTATCATGTGCTTTAACCAGCATGACACCAGGTCTCCTTAAGGAGAATTGTTGTTGTTAGGTGCTATTGAGTCGGCACTGACTCATAGCGACCTTATGCACAGCAGAATGAAACACTGCCCAATACTGGGCCAACCTCACTATCATTGCCACGCTTGAGCCCATTGATGCTGCCACTTTGCCAATCCATCTTGCTGGGGGTCTTCCTCTTTTTCTCTAACCCTCCACACTACCAAACATGATATCCTTCTCTAGTGACTTATCCCTCCTGACAGTATGTCCGAAGTATGAGAGACAAAGTTTGGCCATCGCGGTCGCCAATGAGCGCTCTGGCTGCACTTCTTCCAACACAGATCTGTTTCGCAGCCCATGGCACTTTCAATATTCTCCTCCAAAACCATAACTCAAAAGCATCAATTCTTCTACGGTCTTTCTTATTCACTGTCCAGCTTTCGCATCCATATGAAGTTATTGAAAATATCACAGCTTGGGTCAGGCACACCTTAGTCCTCAAGCTGACATCTTTGCTCTTCAACACTTTAAAAAGGTCTGGTGTAGCAGATTTGCCTAATGCAATACATCATTTGATTTCTTGACTGCTGCTTCCATGAGTATTGATAGTTGATCCAAGAAGAATGAAGTCCTTGACAACTTCAATCTTTTCTCTCTTGATAAGAATGTTGTTTACTGGTCCAGTGGTGAGGATTTTTGTTTTCTTTACATTGAGATGTAAACCATACCGAGGGGTATGGTCTTTGATCTTCATCAGTAAATATTTTAAGTCTTCTTCACTTTTAGCAAGCAAGGTTGTATCATCTGCATATCGCAGGTTGTTAATGAGTCTTCCTCCAATCCTGATGCCACGTTTTTCTTCATATAACCCAGCTTCTCGGATTATTTGCTCAGCATACAGTATGAATAAGTATGGTGAAAGAATACAACCCTGTCGCACACCTTTCTTAATTTTAAACCATTCAGTGTTCCCATGTTCTGTTTGAACAACTGCTTCTTGGTCCATGTACAGATTCCTCATGAGCACAATTAAGTGCTCAGGAATACTCATACATTGCAATGTTATCCATAGCTTGTCATGATCCATACAATCGAAAGCCTTTGTGTAGTCAATAACTCACAGGTAGACATCTTTCTGATATAAAGTTTTTCTTGCTTTGTCTCTATAATAACCTAGTGTACTTTTTTGATTATGGATTCTGGGCAATTTTCAAGTTTCAACTTACATGTTGCTGTTAAGGGCCATTAAACGTATCTATCCAGACCCATATAGACCCTGTATAGGGTTTCTGAGGAGCGGATGGTGAGCTTGAAATGCTGATCTTGTGGTTCAAACTGACTTTGCAGTGCAGTGCATTAGCCCACAGAGCAGTAGCAGAGCTTAAATGTAGGGGGTAGTATTTGGCTAAGACCCTTTGTGGCCAGGTTGGGGACATAGGCCAAATCAAGCTGGCTTTCTGGCATGGGTTCAAAATCCTGGGGATGAGGTGAGGGTGGAGCTTGGGGAAATGACAAGACAGTAGGGGGCCACTGCCCAGAATTCTTTGCAACGGGATCAGTTTTCTGCTCCATACTCTTTAACACACTTAGGGAAAACAGAAGAGGCCAGCATTTGTGAAAGCTAGTCCCTGATGTCTTAATTTTAGTAACATTTTAAAATTATTTTCTTTGTGCCCTAACCTTAAGTGGTACCTTAAAAATGAACAGATGAGGAAGTCTTGGATAGAGTGGGAAGAATATGTGGAACAAAACTCAAAATCATAAAAAAGACCAGGCTTACTCGTCTGATAGACATTAACCTCCAAGACTGTGGCCCATAGACACCCTTCAGGCTTGGAACTGAACTCATTGTAGCCCAACTTTCATCCAAACAACAGAACTCCAGGGAGGTGTGTGCTCATTAGAGCAGTCCACCACGGGAACTCAAATGGGCAGCATTTGTCCAGGGATAAAGCTCAGAAGGCAGGAAGAAATAGGAAAGGAGGATGATGGGAAATGGCTAACACAAGGAGGAAGTGAGAAGAAGGGAGTTCTATTGTGGCGATTGTAATCAATTTCACACACATAAATGTGTATGAGTTGTTGAATGGAAAACCAATTTACTCTGTAAGCTTTCACTCAAATCACAATAAAAAAAATGATTAATGAATGAATAGTATCAATCCTATAGCCACTAGGCATCTTAGGAAGGGCAGTTGGGTACCCTGAACAGCTTTTGGGGAATTCGATTGCATATTCATAAGGAGCTCTGGTAGCATTGTGGTTACAAATCGAGCTGCTAATCTCACGGTCAGCAGTTTGAAACTACCAGTGATTCCATAGGAGAAAGATGAAGCTTTCTGCTCCCGTAAAGATTACAGCCTCAGAAACACTATACAGAGTCACTATGGATTGGAACTGACGGCACGGCCCATAACCACCACCATCATCATTGCAAATTCATGTAAATGTTGAAGAACAAATTAAAAACACTCTAGTCCTTCTTTGTTTAGTAATCTAACATTTTTATATACTGTTGCCAATATAATAATGTAAATAAACTGTAAGTAGGAAAATGGGAAGTCATTTAAAAGGAATAATATTAAAACCAAATCAGTGATATTCAAATATCATCCCAGAAACGACTGAATGAAAGGTCTATTGAGAAACGAGCACAGACTAGCAGGATTTGCATATTGACCAAAGGTGCCCTCCCTCAGAGTCTGCAACTGGCAGTATATATTTAAATAGTTGTTTGGAGATTTAAAAAATTCTGATAATTATGAATGCCTAGTCTTCTGCATTCTAATTACTTGTAAGTATAGAGATCTTATGGAGTCCTGGTGTGGTGCTGTAGGATAAGCACTCAACCTCAAGTTTGGTTTGAACTGCAAGGTCAGTGGTTCAAAGTCACCAGCAACTCCTCGGAAACCCTATACAGAGATGGAACTGACTCGGTGGCACTTAACAACAACAACGGATTTTAATTAACAACCCAGAATTTTGTTTGACTGTTATTTCATTAGTGAAATACATTACTAACAGCACCAAAATAGCTGATAACTCAATTTAAAACACAAGTCAAATGCATTGTTGAATGTACAGCAAAATGTCATTTCACTTTAAAAAACTTGGCTGGAATGTTACAGTTGCATCGTAAAGTATATATAAGAACTGTTCTCAAAAGTTCAAGTTTGTTAAAGCATTAAGAAAACAATGCAATTTTAAAAGTTGTGAGAAACAAAAGAAGACAAATGTTTACTAAGGTTTTATCAGGAATGTTCAGGTTGAATCTTTGCCCAAAGGTACTGATTTAGTAACATTCAAGGTAAACGCACACTTTCAAGTCACTTGTAGAATTATTTGTCTTGTTCTGTTTTGAATCTCATTATGATTTCTTTCAGGAATCATTGCTTTCTGGAGTCCGCTCACGTTCTTATTCCTGCTCATCACCCAAAATTTCTCTCGGAAAATCTCGGTTGGTGCGTGATTTAACAGTATGCAATTCAAATGAAGGTAGGCATTATTTACCATTTGGCTTTGAAAGCATTCTATTCCAGAGCAGATTTTCAGTTAGTTAAAAAAAAAAAAAAGAAAGAAAGAAAAAATTGTGCAAGAGCGGTAGGTCAGAATTTCCAAATCAGTTTTCACAATTGATTTTTCTAAGCTTAGCAAAATCCTTGTGTCGTAAGGTATCACTGAAGTTATTGATTTGCTTTTGATGAAATTATAAATATGCCCTCATCTCTCTATTGCTTTGTTCTTTGAAAAAAAATGTTTTACTCGAGGAGAGTGTACACTAAAATTGGTTCTAGTTATATTATTGTGAGGTCTTTAGAGAATTTTATTTAAGTAGATTATTAAAAAAAAAAATCACTTCTACCTTATATCAACAATGCTGAAAGAATGTAACTCCTTAGAGACAAGGCATTGGTTTTCTTCCTTCCTGCCTTTCTTTTTTAAGCAAGTGACTTTGGAAAGTTGGAATAACAGAAACATGAAACAATAGGAAACATTCAAATGATATTTGAAACACAAGTAAACATATCTTTGCATTTTGTGTGTCAATGCAAAACATCAGAAGGATAACTTTGATACTGTAAACTTTCCATTGAACTGTAACATATAAACACAGATTATCATTGTACAGTTTGGTGAATTTTCCAAAATGAGTTCAGATACAGAAATAGAACAATTAAGAGCAACCCAGAAGTTTGCCTTGTATGCCTTCTCAAGGACTACCCCTGTTTCCAGCTTTATTTTGCAACATAGCTGTTTTATTCTTTCTGTAAATAATGCCATTATATAATATACCTTATATAAGAATAGCATTTACATGTATGTTTAAATATATTCATTGCAGCCCTTATTAATAGCATTGTCATAAGATTTCCTCTTAAAATATTAAATAGTATTTCTTGACTTTTAGCCATAAGAGTCTTGTTGTTGTGAAATGCCATCAAGTCAATTCTGAGGAATTGAGGAATGGTTGGTGGGTTTGAACTGCCACCATAACTTCAAATCCACCTTGCGGTCTAGTGCTTATCCTACAGTGCCACACCAGGACTCCATAAGAGTCTTAAAGGACTACAAGAGCAAGAAATGTGCTTAGGTATTCTTAGTTTCCCAATATAAAATATTTCAGTTTATTTCCCAATATGAATAGTTGTGTTTTACTCCTTTTCCCTCTTTTCCTTATTATTAGCTGCTTCGGTAGTGTAGTGGTCATGAGAGTTCAGCAGTTTAAAACTATCAGTAGTTCTGCGGAAGAAAGATGAGGCTTTCTGTTCCCATAAAGATTCACAGCCTCGGAAACCCTACAAGGTCACTTTGAGTTGGAACTGACTCCACATCACATGACCACCACCATTACCTTGCTCTTATTATTATTTTCCCATTTTTAATCAAAATATTGAGACTATATTCTTTGTGCTTGAAATTACCATACTAAAGCAATGACTTGCATATGGTTTGTTGTTGTCAAGTGCTGTTGAGTTAGGTTCCTACTCATAGTGACCCTGAGTAGGGTTTCCAGAGTGGCTTGTGGGTTTGGGTCACTGACCATGCCATTCACACTGACCTTGTAGTCCAGTGCATTACCTTGGAGCATCCTACCAGGGCTCCTATCTATGGTCAATGTTCAATAATATTTCTTGAATGAATATGATAGATAAATACAAAACAAGAGTCACCAAGTATAAGTCCTCCCCCCTCCTTCTTTCTGACAAGTGATATAAGATGAAGAGAAAGCAAGACTGAGAGAAAATACATGCATTTTGTTTTTGGAATGGAGAAAAGACCAAGAGAAAATAAAGGATAAAAATACCTTGAGAGGTCAAGAAAAAGAAGATTTTCTTTTTTATACCATAGATGTTTCTAGGGCGCTCAGGTCTCCCTATGCCTAGTTTAGACTGGAATTCCTTTGCATGGCAGCTTGCCACCCTTTCACTGAGCAACATTGTTAATTTTTCATTGTAATCATTGGAAAGCACTTAGCATTCTTTTGCACACTGTGTAAAATAGGAGCCTTAGCTCTTTATCTGTGATGCCCCTGATCTGTAAAATTGGAATTTGGAACTATTGACCAGATGACTAAGAGGAAATTTATGGCTTATAAGGAAAAAAGAACCCTGACTTAGGTATTCTTTAATGAGTAACGATAGGTATCTCTGCCTTATATAAAATCCCTAAATCTTTGTTTTAGAATTGTTTTTCTGTGAATAAAACTTTATCTTTATACAGTATTTTTAAAGACAGGGCTAAAAGTTCCAGTGTGGCACTTCAGGATAAGCACTGGACTGCTCACTTCAAGGTTGGTGGTTCAAACCCATCAACCGCTCCTTGGAAACCCTTTGCAGGGTCACTGTGAGTCAGAACCAACTTGACAGCTATTCACAAAAACAACAGTTTAGGTTGAGGCTACCAAATAAATGTCCAGAATCACCCATATTACACTGGCTCGATCTATCTGATTACAAATGTCAGGACTGATGCCATTTGTTGTTGTTATTGTTATGTGATGTTGAATGAGAGCAACTCATACTGACCCCAAGTACAACAGAACCAAACACTGCTCAGTCCTATGCTAGTCTCAGAATCATTCCTATGTTTGAGTCTATTATTGCAACTACTGTGTCAAACCCTCTCACTCAGAGTCTTCTTTTTCATTCATCCTCTACTTTCTCAAGCACAATGCCTTTCTCCTGAAACTGGCCCCTCCTGATAACATGTCCCAAGTATGTGAGGCAAAGTCTTGCCATCTCACTTTTAAAGAGTGTTCTAGCTGTACTTCTTCTAAGCCAGACTTGTTTTTTCATTTGATTGTCCATGGCAGATTCATTATTCTTCCCCAGCGCTGTAATTTGTGTAGGTCAGTTCTCTGATCTTTCTTATTCATTGTTCAACTTTGCATGCATATGAGACAATTTGAAAGTGCCGTGGCTTGGGTTAGACCTCAAGGTGACATCTTTGCATTCTAACGCTTAAAAAAGATACTGTGCAGAATTGTCCAATGCAATACATCATTTAATGTCTTGACTGCTGCTTCTGTGGGCAGTCATTATGGAAAAAAGTAAACCCAAATTCTTGACAGTTTCAATATTTTCTCCATTAATTTTGATATTGTCTATTGAGGAGTTTTTATTTCATTTTATTGAGGTGTAATACATACTGAAAGTGGTGCTGTCTTAATGTCATTGGTAGCTGTTTCAAGTCCTCTTCCCTTTCAACTAGCAAGGGTGTGTCATCTGCATATCACAGATTGTTAATGACTCTCCTCCATCCAGATGCTGTGCTCTTCTTCATACAGTCCAGATTCTGAAACTATTTGCTGGCCGTATAAATTGCATAAGTATGGTGAAAGGATTCAACTCTGATGCACACCTTTCCTGATTTTAAACTATTCATTATCTCCTTGCTCTGTTCAAATGATTACCTCTTGGCCTATTTTGTTGTTGTTGTTGTTAAGTGCCATTGAGTCAGTTCCAACTCATAGCCATCTTGTATAGGATTGTCTGGTGGGTTTGAACCACTCACCTTTTGGTTAGCAGCCCAGTGCTTATCCTGTGGTACCACACCAGGACTCCTCTTTGTCTATATACAGGTGCAATGAACAAAGACTGACGTTCTGGTGAGAACTTCCCACAAATGCAGAACTAATTTCCTACACCTCTGAAAATGTTTATTGTCCCTTGCTGATGCTCAATTAGTTCATGAAGTCATGAAGTGTTGCCATGGTTTGACCTCCTTCCTTCCAGCTTCAAACTATGGAAAGTGATAAAGACACCCAGGACAATGCCCTGTTTATATAAAATTCTTACTTTCTCATTTTGTAACTGGTTGCATTTATAATGATAAAGTGTGATTGTGCATTTCAGACTGACCCATGACTGTTAGTTTGTGTGCCTGGGTTTTCATTGTTTTGTTTTGTGTCTTGTAGAGCAACGAGTTTACAGTTTACCAGAGCCACCAGGAGAAAAAAGGTATTTTCACTGTTAACACATTTTCTGAGTTACTGCTTGGTCATTTGTATATTACACGTGCAAATTGAAACATCTGAATATGTACACATCAGGTTTTGGTGCCTGATCACTAGTTAAAGAGCTATTTCTGTGTACTGAGCCTTCCTGGGATCCCGGAGATCCTCTGGCATATCCCTCGGGATTAGCTAGCCCAGTGTTTTTCAGTTCCTAGGCTTGCAGGTTTTAGGACTAGGGTCAGGGATGTTCTGTTTTGAGACATTTTTTTTTTAAACACCTTCAGGTTTATAAGACCAAGGGACAATAGTGTGAGAAACACCTGCTTTTGAAAGACAACAGCTTCTCTGTAGGTCTTTCTGCTGTGATAAGACAGCGTATGCTAGTAACAGGCCCCTATAGAACGTGCCTGAACATTTATGGATATTGCTTAGCAGTAGCAAATTTTCAAACAAAAAATAAACCATGTAGAAAGTAGTTTAAGCAATACCAGGTTTTTGGTTGAGAGGCAGCCCTGAAAGCTTCAAGCTGAAGCTTCTATTTTTTCTTAGAAGTTAAGAAAGTTGTTCCTAGAGCAAAATTTGGGAAGTGGATTATTGGGCAAGCTTGATTGTTGAGTTCTGTTGGTCTTGAATAACTAACTGCGCATGAGTCAGTTGTGAAATAGTCCTGGGCCACCAAAGCCTGTGCAAAACCGCATCCTAAATGGTATAAATGTTAGACTCTAAGAAGCAATATGAAAAAGAAGAAAATGACTTTTAATTTTGGTGACATCAGAGATAAAATGCTGTGTCTCAGTTATCTAGTGCTACTGTAACAGGCATACCACAGCTGTTGTTGTTAAGTGCTGTCGTGTCGGTTCTGACTCATAGTAACCCTGTATAGGATTTCCAAGGAGTGGCTGGTGAGCTTGAACCGCTGACCTTGCAGTTCAAACTGACTTTGCAGTCCAATCGCATTAACCCACAGCGCCACACCAGGACTCCATACCACAACTAGGTAGCTTTAACACACAGAAATTTATTTTCTCAGAGTTTAGGAGGCTGAAAGTCCAAATTCAGAATGTCAGCTCTAGGGGAAGGCTCTTTGTTGGCTCTTTGAAAGGTTCTTGTCTCTCTTTAGCATCTATAGTCCCAGCATTCCTTAGAGATCTCCATGTGTCTTGGCATCAATCTTCCCTTGAATCTAGGTGCATCAGGGCAGGGACCCCAGATTCAAAGGATACACTTCACTGCTGTCTCTTCTTTCTTGGTGGTAATTTATGGTCCCTCTCCTTTGCTCACTTCTCTCTCTCCTATTATCTTTGTAAGAGAAAAGATGTTGCAGGTCATACCCCTTGGAAACTCCCTTACATCAGATGAGGATTGTGATGGGATTCGGGTTATTGCAGCCCACCCTTCATCTTTCTAACTGGTGTATCACATTATCACAAAACTTCCATAGCATATCATTGCATAACTGCTGAACCTTTGACAATCATGACCCAACCAAGTTCACACATATTGTAGAGGACACAATTCTATGACAAGCTTGAAACATATGAAAGCTTTAAACATATAGTTGAATAGAAACTGTTTTGTTTAAATCTTGAAATAAAAGTATCAGTAAGAAAAAGCTTCCTTTTATTCATTCCTATTTTATTGAGCCCAGGATAGGAACTATCCAATGATACAAATAGAGGAAGACTGAGAATTCCCACTAATATATACTTTCTCTGCCCTTACTTTTTCCTCTCTCTGTATAATTTTGGAAATATAGAACTATCAGAGGAAGTTCTAAGGGAAATGTACCTTTTTATTGCTGGGATTTATTTTGTTTCTACAGAATCGGTTAGAAGAAAAAAGAAATAATGTTCAGAATATTCATAGATTGGGTATCTCTAGCTTGCCTCTTAGTTTGGAGAGTGTTGGTATCCTTTTCTCCCTTACAATTTAGAGAGTCTGGGATTACTGGTAACTTGGCTGAAGGGGAAGGACTGACCCAAGAAGCAGACAGTCTGTGGTTTTGAAGCTATATCTACAAAGGAAATGTATGTCTGCTGAGTATTATCTCTATGTTCCAAAAATAAACAAAACTAGTTTCCTATTGGTTGTTTGACTTCTCTGTGCCCTAAGAAGTTTCTATTAACACAGTAAACATGGAAATGAATATTTTTATAGTGAATTTATACATTTAAGACTTGCTGTCTTTCCCTAATATTTTTTTTTATGAAAATTCAAATACATAGAAGAGTTTCAAGGATTATATACAGAATTTCTATTTTCCTCTCTCTAGCGTCTACAGTTGGTAACATTGTATGATATTTGCTTTATCACATTCATCTATCCATCTATCTGTAAGATAGATTTTTAAGTTTCTTTTTTGGTCGTTAATGCCTGAAAGAAATATGTTTGTTGTTCTTTGTACTTTTTTTTTTTTTCCAGTCATCCAAGTCATGATAACAGATTCTTTCCCTGTAGGATTCAGGAAGAAGAATGGAACAAATACATTATGCCTGCCAAATCAGAGTCTGAAAAATACAAAGTGAGCCGAACTTTCAGTTTTCTCATGAACAGAATGACTAGCCCTCGGAATAAATCTAAGGTAATTAGGGTTCCGCACTGATTTTCTATATAACAGAGATGGTTCTGTTTCTCAGCAATTCATAGTTTCCACTTTCCCTATAATATCACATATCTTAGAGTTTACACACATATATCTGAAAACCGCTGTCTGTCTTATGAACTGTTGTCCCAATCACTAGAAATATTAAGACAAATACATCCTGGGGAGTATTAGATTTGATGTAATTGTACAGTTTTTTGCAGCCTTTATAATAATAAATGTAGACTTTGCTTGGATGACTTCTGTAAGAAGATTAGTTCACAACACCATTTCTCTTTCTCATTCCTCCCTCCCCCTACTTTCCTGCTGTATCTGAAGACGAAGAGCAAGGATGCCAAAGATAAAGAGAAACTGGTTCGACATCACTTTGTCCCTGGAACATTCTCCGGGGTTCTGCAGTGTTTGGTTTGTGATAGAACCCTCGTGGGAAAGGAGTCATTCCAGTGTTCCAGTAAGTTCTTGGTTCTAGTGTGTGCTCTTTTTGTGTTTTATCTCTCCAGACACCAAACTCCCTTAGAATAGGATCCATTTCTAAACTCATTTACAGAAGCCTTTATAGTTCTCTCCATCTGATTTAACAACTTACTATCAATGACTGATAAAGGCTTGAGTCAGTGCTTGGTTTCCACAAGTGTTAGCCTTCCTGGAACCCAGATTTGTATACCGCACTGCCTACTTAATGGCATCTCATCCTGTGCCTACCTAAAACCCAAGCCTCTCCATCCTTCTAGCAAGATGCACATTCGAATCTTGAAGTCTTTGTACCTCTCTTGCTTTCACACCTTCAGCAATCCTTTTGGCTCCATCTCCAACATTATATAAAATCCAGACACTTCTCACCCCTGCTACTGTTGTGAGTAGACCAAAGTATACTTTTGATTTCCTCTTTAGTTCACAGTTTTTTTTAAAGAAGTTTCAAGATTTGCAAGATTTTTTAGGGTAAGGAGTGGGAAAGATGTCGATGGTTTAAAATTAGTGTGACACTGTAGGATAAGCACGGGACTGTGAACCACAAGGTTGGCAGTTCAAACCCACCAGCTGCTCTTTGGAAATTCTCTGTTGGGTTGCTATGAGTCAGAACTGACTCGACGACACTTAACAACAATTAACTTTGTGCTTTTTACTTTATTTAAGAGGATATGGCATACTCTGTTTCTTCAGTGTTGGTTAAATAGTACTATTTCATTGGTTTCTTTGTATTTTTATTGTTTAAATAGTTTTGATCTTATAAACATTAGATGATGTAAAACATAATATACTACAAATGTTCACATTTTCTGGTATCTTTTTTCTTTGTGTTTTCTATGTTAAAGGCCTAGTTGCTGATTTTCCACAAAAATTGTATTTGTTTGAAATTTTTCTAATTTATAAATAGATTTTGCTTTTTTTTTTTTTGATGTTACAGTTTTGGTGCACCTAAATTCAAGAATCATGCCTTCATTGCACATTATAATTCATCAACATAGACTAACTCTTTAATATCATGGGTTTTGTATTGAATTACGGTGGTTATGTGCCGTGGAGTCTTTTCCGACTTATAAGTTATCTAAAATTAATATTCTTTTTTGTTTATATTTCCTTTAACTATCTGGATGTGTGTGTGTTTTAGCCATTGATAATCTATAATGTAACTGAAAGATTTTTTTTTTTACACTGATCATTTTTCTTGGTCATTTAACTATTTTTTTTTAATGTTTTATATGATAGTTTATATGAGAGAACTTTAGTTTTACATTCATTCCAACGTATATCATTTCATTGCCATGGTTCCAATCCCCTCCATGCATCATGAGCCAACCAAAGGGTATATCCTAGATACCCACCCCGTACACTTACCCCAACCCAACCCCCACCAGTTTTCAGCCCACAGTCCCTTTTCCTCTCTGGATCCAAGGTCCCCAGCTGCTTCATCACTCCATGTCATCATCTCTGTCTCTATCTCAGGCATCTCTGTTCCTCTGGGTAGGGTCCTGCTCTCGGTTCTTCCTTGTTGATGGTTGCAGAGGCCTCCGCTCCTAGACTGGAGAATTAATCACTCCCTTCCTTTGCATTTCCAACCCTCATAATCTGTCCTGATAAGCATTATTCACTACAGTTTCACGAGTTACCCATCTGTATTTCCTTTCATCAGCTCCGCCCAGACAGATTGAATAGTACCTACTGGAGGTTCTGCCTTCCTCCATGCCCCCTAGCACTAGGTTCCCTCTTGGAAGCTTGGAAGCCGTCACTTCTTGCCTTTGTAGTCCCCCCGTCCCCATTTGAGTATCCAATGTCCAAGTTGCCTATCTCCGTCCACTCTGTGTGTGGAGGGGGCGGGAATGTTTCCTGTTTCCCTGATACTTGGATTAGCTATTTAGATCATATGTTGCTTGCTTTTATTTTTACTAGGGATTTAGAAAGAATATGACCTTTTAATGTGTTCTCTGTAAAGGATAGAAATACCTACCACTAAGGATAGTGTTAAGACTGTGTAAGACTAATAATTTAATATTGACTTTTCATTCCTGATATTTACTTCCCCCCACCCTCCCAGAATCAGCTGCTCCTTGGAAACATATAGGGTCACAGCGTGGCTATGAGTCAGAACTGACTCAATGGTACTTAACAACAACAACAAACCTCTGTTAATATAATCTGAATTTTGGGAACCAGATTATCATGATTAAATTATTATTTCTATACTATATGTTTAATATAGTTTTTTAAATGTCTCTTTCATAAATAATCAATTCTGTGATTCTGTTTACATTATTCTAGATGTGATTTTTGCTTAGCTGGCTTCAAAGCTTAATTTTTCCTTTGTTTTTGAAGCTACAGCTGACCGGTTTTTTAACTTTTAATTTTGATTCAATACTCAATAGGCTAGAATAGGATTTCAAATTATTTTTTTCAAGATCATTAGGGTGATTTGTTTTCTGAAAGCTTGTGTAACTAAGAGTGTATCTTGGCATCTTTTATAAACAAATTACCTGACTAATTAAATTCTTGAACCCAAACCTTTTTTCCCTTAAAGCTCTGTCAACCTTGGTACATTATGTTTGAGTATTTCATATTATAGAGGGCAAGTCTGAGGCTTGTGTGATATTGGTCATTGGTTTTGTAATTTACATTTTCTGCTAAAATGCTTAAGCTCTTTATTTTTCAAATCATAAGAATATTGTCAATATATCTATAAATTGGTTATCATTTAATGAATGTTTCCCAGAAAAGGGTGAGACCTTTTGATGTCTCTAGCCTCTGTTGGGTTCTTTTTCAGCTTCATTCAGTTTTTGTCAGTTGTAGTTTTGATTATTGCTACTGATCTGATTTGTTGTTGCTTTTTAAAAATTTCCTCAGAGAAGTGTGACTTCTGTTATCTTCTTTATATAACATCTTCTAATTTATAGTTGGAGTCCTGGTGTGGTGCTGTTGGATAAAGCACAGGACTGCAAGGTTGGTTTGACCTCGAAACCCTACACAGGGTCACTGTGAGTCAGAATCGACTCAGTGACACTTAAAAACATCAATTTATAAACTTTTAAATTATACCGTCTTTATCTTTGCATTCCGGAGGGCAACTCAAGTTTTGTCACACCGATTCTTCTGAATTCAGTTTAAATTCTACTCTTATTCATTTACTTTCCTTGGATTCCTTTCTCATATCACAAAGTCTGGTTTTTATCTCATCTTGTTGGCCTGTTGTCTGCTCTAGTACTTCCCTCATGGTGTTTTAGTTCTATTTTATTGACAGAGGTCTTCTATCCCTTACACAGAACACATTCCAGTTACCATCTTTATTTCTGGATCTATTAATGTGCAGGATACGCTCTTCTTGAGAATTTTCAGTAAAACTGCTCTGTGGTATCACATAGCTTCTGTTTTATTTGTTTTTTTATTTTTATTTTTTCAGTCTTCTTTTGTTAACTCATCTTGAAATGAGAAGAGAACATTCTGGTTTCCATGTCTGCACCAGGGCTGCTACCTGGGCTAGCCTTAGCTCTGATCACTGGCCCTTAGGTTGTTGATGGAGATGTCTTTCAGACCTTTGGCTGGAGGATACTTGTTGAGCTGACTTCCTGTATAGTTTTCAGTAGGTTGTAGAAGTTTATACTATGTGGTTTTGATGGTCAATGATGAATTTAATGGGATCGCCTATATACTTCCTTCCTCCCCCCACCAAAGATTCTAACAAAGTTTCTGATAAACCACTGGCTCTTTCATCTAAGATGCAGTTTGTGTGTTGAGTAGAGGGAAAAAGAGACAGAGGGCAAGAAGAGCGCAGTCTTGCAGAAAGTTATGCCTGTACAGGTACAACTTTCTGTGAGGAAGGGCTGAGTGTCTGAGTCTGTGGGAAGAAAGAACACTTTTGCTTTCTTCCAGTGAAACGATGTCACATTCATTTTTGTGAAGTAAAACATGAACAAGGTGCAAACTCTTCCCTTTGAATTTGTATCCCTCAGACTTGCTCTCCTGCTAGCCATAAGGTTTTCAGTGGCTAACCATTCAAACATGGTTCACCCTTCCTTCTTCCTAGTCTGTCTTACACTGGAAACGCCATTGTGGTCTAACAATAATTGTGGGAGTGACGCAGGACTGGCCAGTGTTTTTTTCTGTTGTGCTTAGGGTCCCTATGAGTCGGAATTGACTAGATGACACCTCGCAACAACAGCATCCTTAAACTTATAGTTTGTAGGAATTCCTGTCACAGCATGGCAATAGATTTTGTTCAGCATTATTGTGTTTCTTTTCTTTTTTTCCCATCCTCATAGGCATTTTACCTGTGTGGAAACAGGGAGTTGCTACCAGCCAGATTGCCATAAATCCCTTATAATACACTCATCACAGTAAATGAGTTTTCTGGTGGGCACAGAAGTATCACAAAAGTGTACGTCACATATGATTCCAAGTTTCATGATTTTAGGACCGTGTACAAAATGGAGGTGTCCTGGTGATACAGTGCTTGGCTGCTAACTGAAAGGCAGTGGTTCAAACTCACCAGCTAGTACATAGGAGAAGGATGTGACAGTCTGTCTATGTAAAACCTATGGGGAATATGCAGTCTACCCTATTTGGTTGCCACGAGTCCGAATTGACTGGATGGCAATGTGTTTGGTTTGACACAGAAGGGGAAAAAATCTCTCCATGGAAATGAAAATATTAGCTGTGTGTTTGAGTGGTAGGACTACCTGTGAGTTGAATATTTAAACTCCTGTAGGGTTAACGTTTTCTAAATATTTTTAATGTTTATGTGTTATTTTTGTAACAGCACATGAAAGCATGCTGCAGTCTTATTCATTTCAGATTCACTTCAGTAAAACTTGGATGCTTTCAAATATGCTTTTCCCTTTATTTCAGACTGTAATGGATATGCACATAAGGGTTGTAAAGACGCTGCACTTCCGTGTCCCAAGGTAATCTCGTGATATGTGGGTATTACATGTATAGATCGAGGTTGGTTGTGCCATGTGATCTTCTTGGGTAAAATCTCTTTTAATACTGGTTAAGTTTATTTCTAAAGTGATGTTTGTACTGATAAACATGCCCACAGTGTGTTTACTTAACTATGCTCTTTTAGAAGTTGAGAAAAGCTCAATCTGACTGCTTGTGTTTTAAGGTACGGGTAGGTTATGCTTTCTGTCAGGATGTGCTAGGTTTACCCATGCCAACCACAATCAGATGTGAATGAAGTGTGAGGCAGTAGCTCTCAAACATTAGCAAGCATCAGAATCACATGGGGAACATGTTAAAACTTAGATGGCTGAGCACCATTGCCAGAGTTACTGACTCAGGAGGCCTAGATTAGAGCCTGCAAGTTTGCTTTATTGACAAGCTCCCAGGTAAGGCTGATATTGCTGGTCCTAAGACCAGGCTTTGAGGACCACTGGACTCGAGGAATGTCCTTTGTTTGAGGGTGGACTTCAGTAGATGGAAATAGTTGATTCTGTCCCTCTTCCTTGCTCTAGAAACGATGTTGAAGTGCCTATGGATGAGCCTGATGATACTTCTAAAGGAAACTTGGAGTCACAAACCTCTGATTTCATTGAAACATACATTGTACCAGATCAGCAGAGTTGAGGGCTGTTCTAGAATTTGACATTCCACTGCTTACAGTAGTTGTTTCTTGTAGTCAGGAGGGAGAGCTAGCAGGAAGGAGAAGCAAATGAGAAGAAGGCAGTATTGCTTGGAATTCCTCTTGCAGCCTGATCTGGCCACATGGACTGGTCATTTCTGGTTCCCCTGAGGCTTTGAATGAAGTCACAAGTGTCCATGAGCCAAACTTGCATTATAAGTTACTGTAGCATCTCATGTCACAACATTTTTTCTTGTTATATGTAATGCCTTTTGTTCTAAATTCCTCTTGGTTGGGAAATAAGTAAAACAATGAAAATTATAGATGAGAACTCTGTTCTTAGCAACTGTTTGGACATTCTTGTAGTTTAATGGTGTCTGGATCTAACTTATGTGCTTCTTATCTCTACCAGAAATTCCTAGAGAAATATAACAAGAACAAACCGCAGACCATCATTGGAAGTAAGTAATGTGGAAAACAACAAGTTTTTTTTTTTCAATTTAATACACACCACACATTTTTCCAGTATAAAATGCCTCCTCCTTTGGTTCTCTGATTTGCTTATTTAATAATATGTGCTGGACATATTATTATGTCCTACAAAGATATCAAGAATGCTATACCTTTCTATGCCAACCTTAGGGTTTTGGCACTTGTGCACCATATGGAACGTTTACATTAGGAAGGGATCTAAAGAGGAGATGCTACCATATTACCTCAGTTCTAAAATGCTGTATAATATAAGATGCACTATTCATTCAATAACCTTTTGGGAAAATAAATAGTACATTAAATGTACATAATTTTATGTTTAACTAGCCAAAATACAGAATATATTTATTTATATAAATATACACCACATGTTTCTTCAGAATCATTAAGTTTAAGGAAAAAAATAAAATCTCCAAGTTTGGGTTGGTCCCTATTGTCCATCCTGTGGTGATAGAGTGTTTTTTTTTTTTTTTAATATTTTATTGTGAATTATATGATAGTTTATATGGGAGAACTTTAGTTTTACATTCATTCCATCGTATATCATCTCACTTACATGGTTCCAATCCCCTCCATGCATCCTCAACCAACCAAAGGGTATATCTCAGAAACCCGCCCCCTACACTTCCCCCTCCTCCCCCCAGTTTTCAGCCCACAGTCCCTTTCCCTCTCTGGGTCCAAAGTCCCCAGTCGCTTCATCACTCCACGTCATCATCTCTGTCTCTATCTCAGGCATCTCTGTTTTCTGGGTAGGGTCCCGCTCTCGGCTCTTCTCCGTTGATGGTCCCAGAGGCCTCCGCTCCTATCCTGGAGAACCAATCACTCCCTACTACTGTTAGGGATGATTGTGTATGCAAGTTCAAGGTAGCATGGATTTGGTGTGATGTTACATATGCTAGGCCATTTAAAAGGAGCTCTGGTAGTGTAGTGGTTACAAGTCGGGCTGGCAACCTCAAGGTCAGCAGTTTAAAACTACCAGTTTTATGGGAGAAAGATGAGGCTTTTTGATCACATAAAGATTTATAGCCTCAGGAACCCTATGCTGGGTTGCTATGAGTCAGAACTGACTCCACAGCACATAACTACCACCTATTACCACCAGAAGGAGCTCTGGTAGCGTAGTGGTTATGAATTGGTCTGCGAACTGCAAGGTCATCAGTTTGAAACTACCAGTTGCTCCACGGGAGAAAGATGAGGCTTTCTGCTCCCATAAAGATTTATAGCCTTGGAAACCCGGTATAGGGTCGCTATGAGTCGGAACCGAGTCCACAGCACTTAACAACAGTAACAACAACTACCACCAGGCCATTTAAGATACAAATCAGCTTTGACTTACTACCTGCCCTGACACAGAGTACGTATGACATCAGTTGTAAAGTGCTTTTCAGTTTTAAAAGGTTCAATGTGAAAAAACAACAACAAAAAAACCACATTAAAGTTGAGACAACAACAATGCATGCTTTCTATTTTTATGGGAGTCATGAGAATAAAATTAAATCAAACCTTGGTTCTATCTAAGTATTTTTCTTCCTTTTGCTTGAGGACGAGAATGATATGTACTGTGGCGCCGCTTCCGACTCATAGCAACCCTGTAGCTGGTTTCTTAGGCTGTAAAATCTTTATAGGAGTAGAAACTCTTATCTTTCTCCCATGGAGCGGAGAGACTGATCATTCTGAAGTGCTGACTTTGTGGTTAGGAGCCCAGCTCGTAACCTGGGTTGCTACCACAGAAAAAGTGAGTGACAAGTAGGGCTGCTAACCACAAAGAAGAGATTCGAAATCCCTTGTGAGAGTCAGTCATAGTATATATCATGTATAAATGCATCTATGCCAATAATATTTTAGAACTGACCAGAAAGTTATTGAAACATCATTTAGTGTTCAGCCAAGTTTTTCTTGTAGGTTGCATTTGAAATTCTGATGCTGCAGAGAACAGTATCCCGGTATCATTCCATTCCATTGACACGCTGTGTGTGCATACGCTTGTTTATACACACTGGGTGCATTCTAATAATGATACTAATAACACCTTGCATCTATTTAAAGCTGGTTCTGAGGAGTACAAACAGTGGTTTATAGGAAAGCTGGCCCTGTGTTTCCCCATTCCATTTTCTTGTTTGTTTGTGCAATCCCAAACCCCACAGTCTCCCAATTGGATGTGCTGAAGCAGTCTAGCAGCATGGCTATCGGGAGGGTGTGAAATGGAAGGAACATTCAAAGCAGGTGTCAGGATATGGCAGGAAGACGGGTTTCAAGGATGAGCACGCGCCACATTCAAAGTGAGCTAGTGAAGTGTTTAGCTTTCTGTACTTGTCGTAGTTACTGCCCCTTTACGGAAACCACCTGAAGCTCCCATTCTTATTTCCAGATTCCTCACTTAGAGACACTTCACAGTCTGGTCTCTACTTGAACTCTTCTTCCTCCATACCCATTGGATTGCCAACTGGAAAGAAAGAAACAATAGGACCAGTCCATCCTTTGTCCAGAAGTGTTCCTGGCATCACACTGGAAAGGTAAGGCTCAGTGTGTTTTGACATCTTAATGGCTTAGAGGTGCTTCTGGGTCTAACTTCTCTCTTCTCCCTTCTTCCTAGCCTCAGGAGGTCAGGGACATCCTTGGAGTGCGAGAGTGATGGCAGCAACTGGAGAAGCAGGTCTCATTCCGATGAGCTGACACAGTCCATGGGCTCCTCTCCCTCCACGGAGTCATTTATAATGGAAGGTGAGGAGCAGAGACTTTTGCATTTTGGTGGATTTATGTGAGCACCTGCTAGAAGGGACCTCAGATTATAAGGTGGAAACCTCCTCTTGTTTTCTCTTAACAACAGTTCTGTTTTATGATGTCTCTGGTTTAGTTTCTACTTCTAAAAGGAATCAAATTTTAGCTCCTGAGGAAACTGGTGGCCAGGAAACAATGATACATAGTTTAATTTAATTTAACACTAAGATGCATAGTTTAAATTTCAAAACGATATGGTGTAAACACAATGAAGACCATACAACCCATTGTGTACTTGGTTTTTTTTTTTGTTTGTTTTAAGTGTTTTGAAACTATTGATAAATTGAAATAGGGTTATATGTTAAAAACATATCTTCAGTTGGTGAAAACTAAACTTGTATAGATAGATGTCTGAGAGAATTATCCCTATTTCTTGGCTTCTACTTCTAGGGGGAATAGAAGCATTTTAAAACTGTGTTTTGTAGAGTAGGACTTAATCTGAGGAATCAGTTATTTTATCTGGAATCAGCTGTATCAAGCAGTGAGTGAAAACCAAATGAAAGGGGAAGACTCAGCTCTAGGAATCTGCTTCTTTTATTTTATATTTAAGCCCTGTGACTCCATTGTCATTTCATCTTTACTGCTTTGGAGTTGGACTCTCTTTAGTGAGTGCCCTTGGGGCAAATAAGATTTTGTATTACTAAAAGTTTTGCTTCTGTTTTTTTTTTTTACTGTCAGAAAATATCTGTACTCACGTGTGACTCTAAGTTCTTTCACGAACTTGCATGTTTATATGAAAAGCAGTAAGCCAAATAAAAAGCAAATCAAGTGGACCACTACAAAATTCAGATTTGAATACACAGTGTAAAATAACCTCTGACAAAAGAAATCAGAGGGTTCAAAAGCCTTTAAGAACACTGTCAATTCCAAGGTTACAAAAAATAGAACAAAACAAAGCAATCGAACAAAAAAACTCTTCTTCCCATGGATGTACCTCTCATCCCCCCTTTTTTTGCATATGTTGTTGTTGTGTTGTTAAGTGCTGTTGAGTATGTTCTGACTCACAATGACGCCACATAGAGTTTCCGAGGAGTGACTTTGAACCGCCAATCTTGCAGATAGCAGTCCAGCGCTTATCCTACAGTACCATACCAGGACTCTGTTACAGAGTCAACATTTTAATATCTGATTCTTCTTTTCATGAAAAGCTGCCTTAATGTGGACCAGTTCAATAGTCTGGTTTTCAGATGTTTCAACTCCACATTAATAAGATGTTGGCTTAGTTGTGTCTGTGTCCACAGCAGGTTTATTTATTGGTATGAATCCATTGTACCTGTGAAGCCCTGTTTGTGTTATGTGTATTTCTGCACAACTGCCCTTTCTTTTTTCTTTCTCAACATGTATCAGATGTTGTGGACTCCTCTGTCTGGAGTGACCTCAGCAGTGATGCTCGGGAATTTGAAGCAGACTCTTGGAGTCTTGTGGTGGACCCCTCATTTTGCAGCCGACAGGAGAAGGATGTCATCAAGAGACAGGATGTCATTTTTGGTAAGCATTTCAGTATGGTCCTGGGGATGAAGCCGTGTGGTGTAGAGGAAATAAATGGGCTTGGGAACTACACTGGCCTGACTTCAAGCCTTAATTCTTCCACTTTCTAGTCACCTGATCTCTGACAAACTGTTTAACTAACCCAGACCTCAATGTCTTCATCTATAAGATGGGAATGATATCACTTAGGTTTGAAATGTTATATTAAATGAGGGACTGGATGTTTTGGGTGTGAAAAAATAAATAACTTTTATTTTTTTAAATTAAAAAAAAAGATTTTTAAAATTCTTACTCCCTTTTCAATTTTACTTAGGTTTATATCTCTTCTATAGAAAAAACAGTGAACTTTCTCCTCTTTTACTGCTTGCTAACGGGGGCTACTGCATTTGGTTGTGCTGTTTGTGCTGCACAGCCGTGGGGTGTCATTCATGATGACTGCAGTAGAGCTGGGCTTCAGTCCTGAGTTTAGAATTCAGCCCTGGTGAGAGTTTACTGTTCCATGCTCTTTAGAATAGAAGACAGGAGGCAATATGCACTAGGAGAAGTCTAGATTTCACAGTCTGGTTAGGAAATAATGCAGCTCAATTTGTTGTGTGTTTTTTTAAATGCAAGGGGACTTCAAAAATTTCATGGAAAAATTCATGATCTTTTCATTCCATTTTTTCATGCATTTTTTGAAGCCCCCTCGTAAAGCTGAGTAAATGCTAAAATACGGTACCTAGAAGATGCCTTACTTTAAAGATGAGCTGAGCTCTTCATTTTCCCTGATCCCGTGTATGCAAGTATGGGCCAACAGGTGATGGTTATCACTTACTCTCATGATGTTTTGTTAAAAACTGCTATATGAGAGGACTTCAAAAAGTTCATGGAAAAATTCTTTTATCTTTTCATTAATTTTTAAAAAATGTTTTATTGTGAATTATGTGATAGTTTACATGGGAGAACATTATCCTTACATTCATCCTATCGTATATCATTTCATTGCCATGGTTACAATCCCCTCCATGCATCATCAACCAACTGAATGGTATACCCTGCAAGCCTGCCCCCTGGTCATCAGCACACAGCCCCTCTCCCTCTCTGGGTCTAAAGTCCCCAGCTGCTCCATCTCTCCACATCATCGTCTCTGCCTCCATCTCAGGCATCACTGCTTCTCTGGGTAGGGTCCCGCTCTCTCTGCTCTTCTCTCTTGATGGTTCCAGGGACCTCCACTCCTAGACTGCAAAGTCAATCACTCCCCTCCTTTTGCTACAAAACGTCTACCTTTACATTTCCAACTCTCACAAATCAGTCCCGATAACAATTATTCACTATTGTATCACGAGAGACCAATCAGCCCCACCCAGACAGATTGGATACTACTCAGTGGAGATTCTACCTTCCTCCAGGCCCTCTGGATCTAGATTCTCTTTTGAAAGCTTGTAAGCCAGTCACTTCTTGCCTCTGTAGCTCCCCTCCCCCGATTTTGGGTAGCCAGTGTCCAAGTTGCCCATCCCTGTCTACTCTGTGTGTGGAAGGGGTGGGAATGATCCTCGCTGTAAAGATTTGTTCCCTCTTTTGAGCTACTGTATCCATAGGTATAGGTCAAGTTTATCAAATTGTATCAGATTACTCTTTTTTTCCTCTACTTTCTTCTTCTAGTTGAGCTCTGATCACCCAGTCATTGAAGCCGGGTCAAATGGGTATTATCTGCAAGTGTGGGTGTTCTTGTGCATATGCCCTCTCTTATCTGCTGGATGCTTCACTCTCCACTCTAGTCCTCTGTGACTATGTCACTGTCTCTGGGCCCAAGAGTACCCAGGTCTTTTCATTCCATTTTTGAAGTCCCTTAATATTATTCACATACCATAAAATCCACCCCTTCCAAGTATACAGCTCAGTGGGTTGACTATATTCACAGAATTAGACAACCATCACCACTACACCACTAGCTAACTCCAGAAAACACTCATCACTCTAACACAAAATCCTGTACCCATAATCAGTCCCCTCCCACCATACCCACCTCCCACCAGACTCTGACAACCATTCATCTGCTTCCTGTCTCTGTGGATTAGTTTTACTCTGGACATTTCACATAAATGAAATATAAACTCTTTTTGCGACTGGCTTCTTTCACTAAGCATAATGTTTTTGAGGTTCATCATGATGTAGTTTGTATCAACACTTCCTCCTTTTTATGGCTGAATAATATTCCATTGTGTGGGGATACCACATTTTGTTTATTTATTCATGAGTTGATGGATATTTTGGGATGTTTGCACTTTTTGAGTCATATGGCCAAGTCTGTGTTTAAACTTTTAAGGAATGGTAGTTTTCCCAAGCAGCTGCACCATTTTACATTCCCACCAGCAGTGTTGTTATTAAGTGCCATCGTGCTTAACAATATCTGTTTATTGTCTCTGATTATAATCATTCGGACTCCTGGTGTGGTGCTGTGGGTTAATGCAATGAACTGTGAAGTCAGTTTGAACTGCAAGGTCGGCAGTCCAAGCTCACCTGCTGCTCCTCGGAAACCCTATACAGGTTCGCT